GCTACAGAGAAACCCTGTCTCAAAACCACCAAAAAAAAAAAAGCAGCAACTTTATATTTGGTATAAAATACATGGATGGTGGAGAGATGGCTCAGCAGTTAAGAGCAGTGGCTGCTCTTGCCGAGGACCCAGGTTAGGTTTCCATATGATAGCTAACTGTCATTCCAGTTCCAGGTGATCAGATGCCCTTTTCTGGCCTCCATGGGCATTGCATGAAATGGGTGCAGGCAAAACAATCATACACATAAAATGATAATAAATAAACATGGATTTTCCCAGAAACAATATTATTTCTAGAGGAATCTTGGGCAGGAAGTCCTTTACTAAGTGCAGCGTAGTGCTTATCCTGCTTTGCTGTACTAGCCCTTGATGAAACCCAGATATTCTTAGTAAGGTTTACCACATTAGCTGGTTATAGTGGTATACATCTGTAAGCCCAGAATTCAGGAGGCTGACCTAGAAGGACTGCTGCGAATGCAAGACCAGTTTGAGCTACAGAGTAATTCCATGTTCCATTTACTCAGCAGATTCACTGAGGCCTGATCAGTGTGAGGTACTAGCTCCAGAGAGGCGTGGGATATAGCCTGAGCTCTGGATCCTTGTTGGGCTGGAGGAGGGAGCGAATGGGAGGCGCCACGAGTTTCAACAAGCAACATAATGGTAAGGCTCTGGAGTAAACAAGTGTGGGATTCAGGAGAAAAGCTGGCAGGAGCAGGCTCATCCATTGGCAAAGAAAATGGTTCAGGTACTTAAGGTTATTCTTGAGCTAGGAAGGTGTCTCAGTTTGCTTTGCTACTGCTGTGATAAGACATTGACCAAGCCAGGCGTGGTGGCGCACGCCTTTAATCCCAGCACTTGGGAGGCAGAGGCAGGCGGATCTCTATGAGTTCAAGGCCAGCCTGATCTACAGAGTGAGTTCCAGGCAGCTGGAGCTACAGGGAGATGCTGTCTCAAAGAGACCAAAACAAAACAAAACCAAAAACCAACTTGGGGAGGAAAGGGTTTATTCACCAGTCCATCTTTAAGGGAATTCAGGCAGGAACTCAGAGAAAGAACCTGGAGGCAGGAGCTGAGGGAGAAACAAGAACACTGCTTCCTGTCTTGTTCCTCTGGCCTGTGCTCAGCCTGCTTTCTTATATAACCCATGACCACCTGCCCAGGGTGGCCCCACCCACAGTGGGCTGAACCCCCCTGCATCACTCAACAATCAAGGAAATGCCTCACAGAAATGCCCACTGGCCAGTCCAATGAGGAAATTTCCCAGCTGAGGTTCCCTCTTCTTGAGTGTGTCACGTTGACTAGTTATCCAGCACAGAAGGGTTATAACGTAGTTCTCCCTTCTTCTCTGCAAGTTAGAGTCTTTAAGACTTCTCAGATAAAATGGCAAAAGACAGACTAACAGGAGAGAAAGCATACAAATTTATATGCAGGTAAGAGGCATCACAGGAAAGCCCCAGAGGAATTTAAAAATTCCTATTGCAGGCTGGAGAGATGGCTCAGGGGTTAAGAACACTGGTTGTTCTTGCAGAAGACCCGGGTTCGAATTCCAGGACCCACACGGCAGCTGACAGCTGTCCATAACTCCAGTCCCAGGGGATCGGAAAGCCTCTTCCGACCTCCGCAGGCATTGCACAACACGGGTGTACTTACTTACATGCAGGCAATACACGCATATGTCGCAGGCTGGAGAGATGGCTCAGGGGTTAAGAACACTGGTTATTCTTGCAGAACACCCGGGTTCGAATTCCAGGACCCACACGGCAGCTGACAGCTGTCCATAACTCCAGTCCCAGGGGATCGGAAAGCCTCTTCCGACCTCCGCAGGCATTGCACAACACGGGTGTACTTACTTACATGCAGGCAATACACGCATATGTATAAAATAAAAATAATAAATAATAAATTAAAAAAAATTCCTATCCCTTTCTTGGTAAAGGAGAGTGGGGTGGGCAGTAGGTAACCTTGGAAGCGGTGAATGACTTCTAGGGGGGCAAACGGAGGTCGGGAACAAACTTCCTCTGGGCTTTAGCTGTAGTGTTTGTTTCGTCCCTCTCTCTGACAGGAGCTTAATCTTTGGTTAGAGACATTTCAGCAAGAAGACTGAAGAGTGAAGGCAAGTGTGGTATTTTTGGGTGGCTTTCCTCTTCAAGTAGATAAGGGAGCTTCAGAGAATGCCCCAGGCATTTGCTGATGCCCCAAAACCATTCATTTAAATAATCAAAAGACCATATCTTGAGGTGACATCCCTGGCTAATGTCTAGAGACAAACAATAATTTGCCACAGCAGGCTTGTGTAGACCCACCCTTCTTTCACTTGTGCAGGGCTTTGATGTGAGATGTAAGAAAACTAGGCTTGCTTGACACCTGTCTATCATGTGACAGTCCTTTGACTGGTACTCTGAGGGCATATTTTACAGAGTTATCCTCCTCTCTACAGGCCCTGCCTCTACTACATTGTGGCCCTTCTCTCTAGATGTCTGTTTTCTCTTCATTTTAACTTGACATTTGGGAAAGAAAATTGTTTAGCAGCTAAAAACAAACAACAAACCACACATGATACTGTCTTCATTAAAATAAAAGGTTTAATAGAAGCACCCAAAACTATGCTAAAGGTGAGGTCTAAAAGTTGGTTAGGCAGACTTAGAAAACTCAATACAAGTATTTTCACATTTCACATGAACTATGAAGTGCAGAATCATAATACATCAGTGAGTGTGAGAAAAGCATCGCCGCTCATCAGGTATTTTTAAAGTTCTACAATTTGAGGCACTGCTTTAAAACTTGAATACAACTTCTGAGTCTGATACCATGTCATAGAAGGCAGAAGTTCTTTTTCTCAAGTAAGCTATAAACTCTTTGGTCATGAATACTGGAAATCCAGGTAAACATTAAAGAGGAAGAAACTGTCTACTGCTGAGTTTCAAAATCATATAAATTTCAGATCAGGAACAAATTATTCCACTGGAGGGGTAGGATAATTCACACACGTACTACCTCATTGACAATGTACACAGCCTCACTCAATCCCTCTGCATTCAGTAAATTAGCCTTTACAAACTCCTCCAGGTACCTAAAGATCAGCCTATACATCATTCATCTATTCTGAAAGTGCTTATATTTATATAAAAAAGAAAATAGTACAGTAGAAAATACAAAGAATTGATATTCAAAAACAGATCAATGCTTGATTATAAAACATTCCACATTTCCTCACTCTTAATTAGATTTTTGTTAAGCTGCTATTATTTCCCTTTCTTAGGCATGTAGGGATCTCTCTGCCTGGGAATGTCCTGACCCAAAGGAATATCTGGTTTCACACTTGGAGTAGCCCTGAAATGCCATCCTGAAGCCAGATGTGGGGAGAGCTGCTGTCTTGTGTTCAAGTTCACCCTCCCTCTCTTCCTGTTTACTTAATTCTCAAAGTAACACCAGCCGGGCATCCTTCCCTGTCCTCCCCACTATGAGGAGACCAGCAGTAGCTGCATCCCTCCCTTAGGTAGGTGTGCAAATGCCTGTGGATATGGCCAGCCTGCAGCCCTGGGAAGCTTTCATTCTGCTGTGCTTCAAAAGCTAAGGCATCATTAAAACTTTGCTTAAAATGGTTGCTTTAATGATGAACAAAAGCGTAGTGATTTTTAAAACTGATAGGACAAATAATATCCTGTATTTTAAAAAAATATTTTATTTATTATTTTTATTTTATGTGTATGAGTGTATTGCCTGCATGTATGTGAGTGCACCCATGTTGTTGCAATGCCACAGAGGTCAGAAGAGGGCTTCGGATTCCCCTGGAACTAGAGTTAAGGACGGTTCATAGCCACCATGTGGGTGCTGGTAATTGAACCCTGGTCCTCTGTAAGAACAGTCAGTGCTCTTAACTGCTGAGCCATCTCTCCAGCCCCATCCTGTATTTTTAAATTACCCTGAAGTAACACTAATACAACCTGTAGGTGAGGTTTTCCTAACTCATTCCCAAGTTGCCCAGGCATCCACCAAGAACAAGGCACCACAAGAGAGGCAGCCATATGGACCCTGTCCTTAAGCAGTCAACTGGGATGACGAGGGACACAGGTAACAGGCTGGCTATAAGACCATAGGGGTCCATGCTGAAAGTGGCTCAGAAAGCTCTCTCCAGGCATAGGTGGAATAGTTTGAGACTCAGTGACAACACTTTTAGACTATGTGCCTTAGCAATGCTAAGCCTCAGCACCCTCAGTGTGAGAACTGCATATGCACACAAATAATGCATTCACTATGGCACCTCATAAGGAAAGGCTCATGGACACTGCTGCACACCATCACCATAGTTATTTCCATGGACACAGTACTGTGGAGAACTGAGGGAAGGCCAGTTGCTCTGGGGAGCAAGTTTTCACTGGGGGAACACCAGCACACCGAGCAGCACACTGTTCATTGTGAAGGATGGCTCTGCCATTGAGCATCCTCACCCCAAGCAGCAGAAGGCCAACAGATACAATGTACTCACACATTTTGAAGCGGGCCTTGGAGGGGCCACCACTCCTGCTGAGAACTGTCCCCCCATGGGGGCCCTCTTTATCACAACATGGCGTCCTGTCTAGAGTATTCAAGGATCAGTCACACTGGGGCTGGTGGTAGAGAACGGGTGAAGGAGGGCTCAGTATCATTCTGTAAGAATGATCCTTTCCTGACCAATCACACAATTCCAGTATCAAAATTTCCCAGCTCAGTATCATTCTGTAAGAATGATCCTTTCCTGACCAATCACACAATTCCAGTATCAAAATTTCCCAGCTCAGTATCATTCTGTAAGAATGATCCTTTCCTGACCAATCACACAATTCCAGTATCAAAATTTCCCAGCTCAGTATCTGGGGCTCAAGTAAAAGGCAGAGCTACACCTCTGCAAGCAATGGAGCGGAGCAGAGCTCACGGTTCCAGGCTGAGCACATGTAGCTCAAGCAGAAGGCAGACATACACGCAGCTCACGCAGAAGGCAGACATACACGCTTAGACAATAATCTCATAGAAGATGTTTTCTTTTTCCTCAGCATACTGAGCAAGGTTTCAGTTCATCCCCAGTCTACAGAAAGTAAAACTCCAGCCCTACACAAAAAGATACCAATAAGAGCTCAAAGAAGCTCATAGAGTCTATGCTAAAAGAAGGTTCTACCTCAGTATAAGCTAAGCCTGCATTCCCTTCCCACAGTGTTTGTGGCTGAACACTACTTCCATGTTGTCAGGGGTCTTAAATGATCTGAAGGCAGATCTGATTTTCCTCCCCAAAGCTTTAGCATTTAGTGAGGTCAGAGAACTGATGAGGCCTTCAAACCTCTGAGAACTGAGAAGTGGACGGAAATTTCATCACCCCATTCCACCATGGATGACAAGGCTGAGAGATGAGGTCTGCCCGCTGGTGAAAGCTGCCCAACTACAGCCAGCACTCCTGCTTGGCACGGGGTGGGGGGGGTATTACAGACCAGAAGAGCCGGAGTCTAGCTGAAGAGGCCTCCTGTGTGTGCTGTACCCTTTCCCATCAGCTCTCTAGTCTCAGCCTATCCTGGCTCTGCTGTTGCTGGCCCAGTCAATCACAGCAAGTAGACTTCAGGAGACATTTGGCGGGCTTGCCCTCTCCTCTTGGGGTATCTTTATCTCTTTGAAATGGTTATATTAAATGGATGTGGGGCTAATGTCAGACCAAATCTCCCAGTCAGGATAGGCTTCGGAGAATCCTCAGGTAGAGCAAACATGAAACTCTGCATCAGGCTTACAAACATCAGGAACAATTCCATCTTGGCCAGCTGTTCTCCCATACACACCCGCTTCCCTAAAAGTGAGATCAGATCAGAAACAAGGGGAAAGATGACAAGATATCCTTTTTTCTTTTTCTTTTCTTTTTTTTTTTTTTTTTTTTTTTTTTTTTTTGTCTTCTTTTTGAGACAGGGTCTCCCAATAGCCCCAGCTGGCCTGGAACTCACTATGTAGACCAGGCTGGCCTTGAACTCACAGTGATCCACCTGCCTCTGCCTCCAGAGTGCTGGGATTAAAGGCGTGCACCTCCATGCCCAGCTTGCCTTTTGTTTTTTTTTAAAAAGTACTAATTTATATGAAGTATATAAATTGAGCATTTGAAGTACAGAGATAGTCTTAAAATAAGATTGCCACATATAAGTCAGACAGTCTCCTTGAGTAAATACTGATGGGAATTCTTACAGACCAAGTTCATCTTTCTCTTCATAAAATCTGCTCAGGCACAGGAAATCAAGACAGATCATGTGGCAGCTGCCTCTTCTACTTCTATTTACCTTTCCTTCCCTGTCACCTGGAAGATTAAGTCAGACGCAGTCTCTGGAGCCTTCCTTTTCTTCTAGAGCCCCATGAGCCTTATCTAGGAACCTAGAGACCTGAGAAGAGAAAGCCCCTTCCCCACCAGCCTAGCAGATGAGTTGTTCATAATTCCAACAGTTGCTTAGGCCCAGACAGGCCAGCTGGAAAGGAAGATCTGGTCATAAAGATGACAAACCAATTTTCCTTCTTTCCTTCCTTCCTTCCTTCCTTCCTTCCTTCCTTCCTTCCTTCCTTCCCTCCCTCCCCCCTCCGGTACCCTCCCTCCCTCCCTCCCTCCCTCCCTCCTTCCTTCCTTCCTTCCTTCCTCCTTCCTTCTTCCTTTCCTTTCCTTTAAAAATTTTTCTTTCCTTTTTGCTGGGGATGGAACTGAGGAACACACAAGGCAAACTTACTCTATTTCTGAACTACCCCAGCCCATAGTTTTACTTTCTTTTTGAAAAAAGTATTCAGTTGAAAAAGGCCGGGCTGGCAAGATGGCTCAGCCAGGAAAAACACTGGCCTCACAAACCTGATGACCTGAGTTCCGTCCTGGATCCCACATTGGAAAAAGAGGCTTAACTCCTGAAAACTGTCCTCTGACCTCCACACCTGAACTCACATACACACATCACACATACATTCATGATAATAATAAAAATAAATCTAACCAGTAAAAGGTAAATGTTTAACTGACCTATCCCAAAAGGAATAAAGGTTTCTTTTTTCAGAAGTTGTCCTTGGTCATCCAGAAATCGATTTGGACAGAAATCATCTGGTTTCTCCCAAATGGCTGGGTCTCTGTGTATCAACCACAAGTTGGGCAAGATCATTGTGCCTTTAGGAATGGTGAACCCTCGGAGAACTAAAACAAACACAAAAAAGACAGTGCCATTCAACATGCTTTTATTGACAGTGCTCCTTAAACACCACTGTTTTGGGAGGACTGGATAAAGCTTAGTATTTTAATTGGCTGAGACTAAACACTGTGGGGTACTTGGGGTACTCCCTTGCTTCCTTCCTCCTTCCTTTTTCCTTTCCTTTCCTTTTAAAATTGATAGATCTTGTCAGGTCTAGCCTGAGATGACACAGAGGGATGAAGGATGGATGTTGAATCAATGAATTCGGTCATGCCATAAAAAAAAAAAATTGAGAAAACACTAAAACAGAAATAATAGGGCATTCCAGACAAACTCCATAAATAAATACCTAATTTTACATAAAATGGAAGAGCTTCCAGTATTCTCTGCACTCAACATGATAGGGAGAGTAGGGCAAGTACATTAAGGTAAAGGATGTACAGGGAAGTCTGCTTCTGCTCCTACCAGCTGACAGGCGAACGAATGGGTATCCCACAAGTGCTGGTCTCCTCACAGTTGATCTAATTTGTATCAAAAAGATATTCAGAGCTGGGCGTGGTGGCACAGGCCTTTAATCCCAGGCTCTACCAAGGCCCCAGGGCAGATCTGCCTTTGGTAGGCTAAGGCTGAGATCCTAGCAGAAACCTGAGAGGGTGGGTTCGGACCTCCATCAGTGTAGTGGCTCTGATCAGTTCTGGCCTCCCTCAGGCAGAGAGCCTGAGAACCCAGGGGACTGCCTGAGAGCCCCTGGATCCCGCCTCCATGTGGTGAAGGAAGCCTGAGTGTACTTGAAGGGAACCGGAATTGGGCCTCTGTGGGTACTCCTGAATAGCTCACCTGAAGCCATCAGTTCCGTCCAAATTAAACCTGAGAGAACCTGAACCCTGTACCAACCAGCTTTACATAACCAATAAAGGAAGGATCTAGGCACCACAATTATACAAATAGAAGCATACTTCAACTTAATTCTCATACCAGAATCATAAACAAAAGAAATTCACATGCCAAAATCACAACAAGAGAAGAATAAAATGGAAAGCAAAAACATTATGTCCCACCAAACTCCACCAGTCCTGTAGAAGAGATTGACAAGGAGAACTCTAGAGATAACCCAGTACACTGAATTTAAAAGAACAATCATAAACATGATCAAGGAATTCAACGAATTTAAAGAACACATGAACAAACAAATCAAAGAGCTGAAAGAAGATAGGGATAAACTTCTGAATGAATTCACAAAAGAGATAGAAACATTGAAGAAAACTCAGGCAGA